GGTGGAGGAGAAGGAAGAGGAGTTTTCTGGAGGAGGAGGAGGAGCAGCAGCAGTAGCAGGAGTAGGAGGAGCTTGAGGAGGAGGAGGAGGAGGATGAGGAGGAGGAGGAGGAGGAGGAGCAGGAGCTTGTGGAGGAGCATGTAGGGGAGGAGGAGGAGACGGCAAAGGAGGAGCGTGTGGAGGAGGAGGAGGAGGAGGGAGCAGGAGGTAGCTGTTTGGACATTCAAAGAGGATGGAGGAGGGAGGAGGAGGAGGACGAGGAGGAGGAGGAGGAGGAGGAGGAGGAGGAGGAAGAGGAGGAGGGGTTTTTGACCCAAGCTCTTCCCCGGCGGAACCGCGCCTCCCGCTCCTTGGGGCGCCAGCCCGCAGGGGCGCTCGACGCCCGGCGCGCGACGGCGGGGCTCCGACGCCGCCCACCGAGCACCGACGCCGCCGCCGCCGCCGCCGCCGCCGACGACGACGACGACGCAGACGACGGCGGCGTCGGCGTCGACGACGACGACGACGTCGACAGCCGAAGGCGACGCTCGACGGCCACGCCCGACGACGGCCACGCCCGACGACGACGACGACGACGACGACGACGACGACGACGACGACGACGACCGACGACGACGACGACGACCGACGACCAATGACGGGTCGACGACATCCCGACGTCAGCGCCCGACGACAGACCGACGAAAGATTCGGACGCCGACGACACTGAGGCCGACGACGACGGCGGCGACGCACGCTGACGGTGGACGACGACATGACGACGGACGGCGATGGACGACGACGCCTCGGACCGCCCCCCTCCCTCGGCGCTTTTCAGTGCGGCCAGGGACCGCCCTGGCCCTGGGTGGCCCCCGTTCTTCCCGGGAGGCTCCAAGGTGGCCGCTACAAAGCACACCCCACGAGCCCCAGGAGTCGAAGGAAGGAAACACTTGTACAAACCTAACCTTTTAGAGCTTCGCGCGGATTTTTTGCACCGACGCTGGGGCCCCCCAGGCGGCGCCTCCGGCGCCGATCGAGCAAATCCGTGCGGAGCTTCAAGGGTTTATGTCTATGCCTTCCGATGTTCCCCTATGGAGGCCTCAAGCTGGGGCACAGAGCTGGGGGCACCCTGGGGCAGATTCAGCTCTGGCAGCCCTGGTCCGTTGCTGCTTTGCTCCGCAGGCAGCCGTGAGCTGCCGCTTCCACTTTCCGTCCGGAGGAGGGTTCAGACAGCGCCAGATCTTCGACGACATGGCTTTTCAGTCCAGGCTTTCCTCCTCGATCTCGGCCTCTGGGGCCCGTTATCGTCGGGGGTGGACAGACCTCCTACCCTGACACGTCGATTAAGGAATTGGCCGTTTTCGGTTCGCGAGAGGGCGTCGCGGCCGTCATTTCTGCGGGTCCAGGTCCGTCGGTTTCGGTCCCAGGCCGTTTCCACGAAAGGAAGGTTTACGAAAGGGAGGTTTGTCCAAAGCCGACATCGGGCCCTGAGATAATCAGGCACGGATCCGGGACGAACTACGACCGGGGAAGAAGGGGTTGGGAGCTCTGGGGCCGCGGATTGCAAAACGCAGGCGTCGCCGCGCCGTCTGCTCCGACGCGCGGCCTGTTGCGCCGGGGGAAGGCGCCTCGGGCACCAGGGCAAGAACGCCGCCTCGGGCGCCACGGGCTCGCCCCGGGTCTGCCGCTGTGCCGGCCTCCTCTACCTGGGGCGGGGCTTGCGGTGGGCTTGCTGTGGTTCAGAGTGTGAATTACCCACCCCGCTTTCGCTGCCAGGCGAAACCAAGTCACACCACGCGCCTCCTCGTCAAGCGGCCTGACCAGGACAGGCCGCAGTTTGGCATCGCTTGGTATCTCTTGGAAGCGAGGTAGGTTTGCTTGCCCCCCCAGTGGTGTCGGCGTTGTCCATGTGAAGGAGGAGGAGGAGGAGGAGGAGGAGGAGGAGGAGGAGGAGGAGGGAGGAGGAGGAGGAGGAGAAGGAGGAGGAGGAGGAGGAGGAGGACGAAACGCGTCGAGAGCAAACGGCGCGGCGACATCTTCGGAGGATGCGTTGGGACGGTGCCGGGACAGTGGCTGCCGCCCCGCCCGGGCCCGCAGTCGCTCCCCGGGCCCTGCCCGCGGCCCAGGCGCGCAGGCCTCCGGAGCTGGGCTCGGTCGTGGCGGCGAGGACAAGAAGCGTCCGCCGTCTCGGCCCTGACGCCTGCTGGTACTCAGAGCCCCGAATCATCGGGGGTAACTCGGGTCAGGGATAACTCGGGTTCGTTTTTCGGGAATCCAAGCCCGGATTACCCCGGACCCGAGTTACCCCGGATAACTCGGGCGTCCAGGGCCCCGAATCATCAGGGGTAACTCGGGTCAGGGCTAACTCGGGTTCGGTTTTCGGGATTCCGAACCCGAGTTACCCTGGACCCGAGTTACCCCGGATAATTCGGGCGTCCAGAGCCCCGAATCATCAGGGGTAACTCGGGTCAGGGCTAACTCGGGTTGGTTTTGTCGAGATTCCGAACCCGAGTTACCCCGGACCCGAGTTACCCCGGATAACTCGGGCGCCCAAGAAGAAGGAACCCTTCTCGTTGGCGAGGGGCTCGGTGTTCCTTGATTGTTTTACAGTTTGCGATGGGTCTTCCATGGGAAGTCGAAGTCTAACTTGTGGGAAAAAGGGGCCTCGTTCCTAGGGTTCCTTAGGTCAACGCCCCGACTGTATGTACGTTTTTGTCAGTCCGTGGCACCAGGGGTCCCGACCGGTTATGCGGGGGGATCATTTTTCGTCTCGGATCCGTTTTTTGTTGTCCCGGTCCTCGAGGATTCGCCGAGCGCGTTCCACTACTCGCGAAGTGCCTACTCGCAAGCGCCATCAAAAACGAGCGTTGTTCGATGCAATGGAGCTCGCCTGCGTCGACGCAACGGATCCAGGCCATGTGCGAGCAGCTACTCTGCGAGTATTGGAACACACTTGTTTAAAAGATGGGCCCCAGAGGGTGACCGCGAGGGCGCGGCGATCATTGCGCTCCGCGCACTGCGGCCCGGGCAAGAGCCGCCCTGTTCCAGAGGGGCGGCGCGAGGGCGCGCAGGCCATCGCGCGTCGCACATCACGGGGCGCGATGCGCGAAGTGCTCGGGTATAGCCAGGGCCCCAGGTAAGGTGACCTGGTTAGTAGTAGGGCCCAGGAGCCCCTAAATTGGCCAGGCTGACCAAACCAGGTCTGCCGCAGCTGGTGTTTCTTCGGGTGACGGCAGTTCCGGTTAGTGGAACAGGGCGGGGGGGAGGGCGATCGCTAAACCAGGTCCCACTGATCCCAGTTCTGCCGACGCCCGAAGTTAGGTCGTCGGAGATCTGGGGACTGGCCCTCCTCCGAGCCGTAGCCGATACCGTCCTCGATCCATGCCGACCAGGTGGAGGGGAAGGAAGCGAGGACCATGACCAAGACTGAGCGCGGAAGCGTCGTGCCGACCTGGGTCAGTGTCCATCTCGGTCAACGTCCATTCGTGGGCCATCCTGGCGAATCGGCGACAGCCGGCATGGACCGTGACCAAACTTGAGATCCGACGTTGCGAACAGAAATCGGCATCGTGGAAAAAATCGCGGCCGGGAGCCCCAGACCCTGTCGTTCTGCGTCATGCTTCGAGCCCGATCGATCCGCGAGGGCCCGGGGGGCCCCAAGCTGGGCGGAGCCGCCCGTTGCGACACAGTCGCAGCGCGAGGATCTCCGGGAAGATCGGCGTCGACAAGATCTTGGGCGCTGCGTAATGGGGGGATCATAAATGGGGGGGTGGCGAGGGTGGTCCGAAAAGGTACCCAAACGGTACCCAAACGAGCCCCCTGGGGCTCTGGAGGGGCCCGAAAGGGGCACGAAAGGGGACCTTTTCTGACCCCCCCATTTGTGACCCCCCATTAAGCCACGCCCAAAAGATCCCGCGACACGTTGGCCGTGCTCGGTGCTTCTCTCCCCCCGGCCAGGCGCGCCACCCTCGCTGCCCTGGCGGGCGCCGTGGCGGGGACGCCGCGGCAGGCGGCGGCCCTCTCGCTCGGGCTGCAGGGCAACGGCAGCTCCGAGGAGGGCTCCGTGGGCACCTGGCGATGATGGGCCTGTTTTCCACCACCACCACCATGAGTTGGAGGGGGGAAGGATGAGGAGGAGGAGGAGGAGGAGGAGGAGGAGGGGGAGGATGAGGGAGGAGGAGGAGGAGGAGGAGGAGGAGGAGGAGGAGGAGGAGGAGGAGGAGGAGGAGGGGGGGAGGAGGAGGAGGAGGAGGAGGAGGAGGAGGGAGGAGGAGGAGGAGGAGGAGGAGGAGGAGGAGGAGGAGGAGGAGGAGGAGGAGGAGGAGGAGGAGGAGGAGGAGGAGGGGGGGGGAGGAGAGGAGGAGGAGGAGGGGAGGAGGAGGAGGAGGAGGAGGAGGTGGAGGAGGAGGAGGAGGAGGACCCCCTTCCCCTCCAACTTATGGTGGTGGTGGTGGAAAGCAGGCCCATCATGGCGAGGCGTGCCCCTGGAGGAGGTCGACCCCTCCAAGTAGCCTCGAAGGAGGAAGGGCGGCACAGACTCGAGCTTCCCTGAGATGCGGGCGCTGCGGTCTTTTCTCGCAGCGGCCGTCCTCGCCCCGCTTCGAGCCTGTCTCGGCCGATCCGGCTCGAGAGGTGGCGCAGAAAGAGGGGGCCGAGGAGCTTCGGGCGTGACTCTTCGCGGCGCTGTGGGACTTTGCAGCGCCGGATGTCAGGGAGCTTCCGAGGGCCTGGATCTCGCGGGTCGGCGCTGGGCCCCGGGCGAGCCCCGCGTGCCAGGGAGCGGGGGGAGTCCAGCGCCGATCCGAGGCATCCGCGCGGGCCTCCGAGAGTTTGTGTCCGTGCAGCTTTCTGTCCTTCTGGTATCCGGAGTTCGTGCAGTGGCTTGACAGCGACAGCCCCGCGGAGGAGCCAGTGCTGACCCAGGCGCGCGCGGACGCCAAGAAGAACAAGGGCCCTCCGCACTTCCCGGACCTGCAGAGTTACATGGAAAGGTGCCAGGCCACGGATCCGGACGTGGTTGAGATCCCCACCTGGATGGGCCGAATGGGCAACCGCGTCTGGCAGGTCCTGAATGCCGTGCGCATCGCGGAGGCGACGGGCAGGAAGTTTGTGAAGATCCCGAGGACAGGCGGCGGCCTGGATCACCACCTCTTCAGCAGCCCACAGGACAGGCTGATCGAGGTCGCGCCTCCCGAGGCCCCGAGGACCTGTGATTTCGTCCCCGTCTCCGGTAAGATGTACGCCTGGCATCACGACTGCCGCTTCCTCTTCTTCAACCGGTGCCGCACCACCGTCAAGGAGCGGATGGTGACCTACAACAAGTACGTCCTGCCATTGATGAGGGACGACATCACGGACAGGTGCGCGGCGGGTGCCGACGACGAGGTCACCATCCACATCAGGAACGGCGACGTGGCCCTGCACAACGACCTGAATCCCGAGATGCGGCCCGAGCACCGACAGCCTCCGTGCGCCTACTTCCACAAGGTCATCCAGGCTGGCCACAATGGGAGCCCATTCAAGAGGGTCCAGCTGGTGTACTCGAGTGAGGAGCCAGCGAGCCCGTGCATCGACGACATTGTAGAGAAGCACAAGGACAAGGTGATCCTCAGACCAGCACCAGCAGTGCCCGGCGACGTATGCCACATCCTGAGGGCCAAGAATCTTGCAACCACGATGAGCTCCTTCGCAACGGTGCTCAAAATGATGAACACGGGCTTGCAACGCCTCTTCTTCGCGAACATGCTGTCCCCGAAAATCATGACGAAGGAGCAGTACGACATCCAGATGGACTACTACGAGTTCAGGATGGGCGAGCTGTGCGACGTTTTCCCAGAGGTCACGAGCTACTCGGTGCCCGACCTGTTCCTGAACGAGTCCTTCTTTCTGAGATTCCCCGACGAGAACATCGTCGTAGACTCCTGCCAGGGGGACCCGCAGAGCATCGCGACCCTCCGCGAGGCGGTGCGGTCCAAGAGCGCGGCCGCGAAGAAACGCCGCTGGTCCCGGTGAGTCGCGAGGCGGCCCTGAAAGCAGACCTGGTGCGGAGCTTCTTTCCTTTCGTCTCCTCGTCGTCGTCCTCTCCTCTTCGTCCTCCGCCCTCTCCCGCCCTCGTGCTGCGCGTGCTCGTGCCTCGTCGCTGCCGTCGTCCTCCCCCTTCTCCTCCTCCCCTTCCCCTTCTCCTTCTCGTCCCTCTTGTCCTGCTCCCTCCTCTCCCGCCCCCCGCGCGCTCCTGCCTGGAAGGAGGAGGTGCGGGCGGGGGATCCGGATGAGGAGGGCAGGAGGAGCGGGGGAGGCGAAGGAGGACTGCAGCACGAAGCACGAAGCGCGCCCGCAGAGGGGCTCCGTCGAGGGTGCTGCGGGTGTGGCGCGGGAGAGCCGGAGTGTCAGAAATTGATGCCCGATCCGAAATCCGGGGGGAGGTTGGAGGTGCTGGGTGGGTTGGTACTGGAACGGAGTGGCTCGTCATCCGAGTAGTTTTCGCAAAGGACTTAACATGCGGGTGATTCCACATGCATGGCAGCTGTGCCATGCGTTTCCTCTGGTAGGGGGCACGGCGCACCGCACCGCCTTCGCCGTGGAGCACAGATTGAGGCAACAGCCCTCGGGACGAACAAGCAAAAAAATCCTGGCCGATCCTGTTCCAGAGCTCCGTTGTGGCAGCTTCCAGTCTGTCTTGCCCTCGAGGCCGAGGATCCTGCCCTCGCGAGGCTGGGGGTCGACGGGCGGAGGTCGGGAGCCGGAGGTGGAGGACCGGGTGGCGGTCGTTTTGGTGGTTGAGGCTGGGGGTCAGAGGTCGGAGACCGGAGGTCGGCCTCATGATGGCGAGAGGTCGATGGGCGGGGTTCGAACGCTGGACGTGGAAACTCCCTCCTCCCTCCTCCCTCCTCCCTCCTCCCTCCTCCCTCCTCCTCCTCCTCCTCCTCCTGCTCCTCCTCCTCCTCCTCCTCCACCCTCAAGCCGCTTCGGCCCTGGCCCCCATTTCCCAGGGCTGCCCGAGTACCTCCGCGAGGTGCTTGAGGGACTTCCGTGCACCCGCTCCCTTGCAGGTTTTACGGTCGACCAAAGCTGGGGCTCATGGCTCGCACCCGCGCACCGCCGCTGCGCAGCACCAGCCAGGCTGCCCGCGGCACCGCTGCCTGGCATTCCTCATCGCGGCCATGGACGCGCTGCCGCGGCTGCAACACGTGCGAGTACAACGACCGCCTCGACCCGCTGGCCCCCACATGCCCACGTTGCAATCGGCCCGTGCGCATGCATCGCAGCCGCTCTCGTTCGCCAAGCCAGGTGAGGTTCGGGCCTGAGGAGATCATCGACCCCGACACGCCGCCGCCAGCCGCCCCTCGCCATGAGACGGCGACGCCGAGTGCTGACAACGGCGCCCTCGCCAATCACCTACGCCAGGCACTTGCGGCTGCCACCGACCCCGCCTTGCGGGCCATCCTCGCTGCTCAGATGCAGCGCCTCGGTGCCCAGGAGACCGAGCCCAAGGTCAGCGAGGTGGAGGCCATGAGGAAGGCAGACGGAACGTGGCGTAGTGCAGTCAACCACCACAATCAGGTCGTGGCCAACGTCGTGCGGCTCCGCCAGGCCTTGTCCACGGCAGAAGCCAAGGAGGCCGAGGCCGCCCTCGAGGTCGCCAAGACGGAGGCCGCCAAGCGCAAGGCTGCCCAGGCGCTGGCACATGCCGAAGGAGTCGGACACCCAGACGACGCCAAGAACTCCGCCAGCAAGCCCGACCACCCACCCGAGGCGCCTTTCACAGTCTCTTGGGACCCCACGCTCTTCCAGCAGATCGAGGAGCTCGATTTCACCGACACCGAGCAGCAGGAGCTCAACGCCGTCAAGAAGGGGCTCGAGGAGCTCAAGCAGCAGTTCGCCACAAAGGGCCCCCAGGTACAGGAGCTCATCAGCCGTGCCACAGCCGTGCGCCAGGCACGCGAGGCACGCTACCAGAAGAAACGCAAGGGCGACGACGGCCAAGCCGGCACCACGCCTGGTGCTGCCCCGCCCGCTGGCGGCCACACTGGCGGTGGACAGCCCCCCAGCGCAGGCGAGGCCGCCGACGCTGGAGGCGAGCCGCCACCCGCAGCCGCCCAGGCGCAGGCGCAGCAGCAGGAGGATGACGCTGCGCTGGCTGCCGAGGCCGCTCGCCTGTCCGCCGCCAAGTTCGCCGCCCACGCCGCCATGAACAAGGACACTGCCCCCGAGACGGCCGCCCAGAAGGCAGGCAAAGGGAACGGCCGCTCCACCGCCACCAAGCGAGCCACCTCGCATTGACTAGGCGGAGGTGACCCCAGCATCACGGGGGAAGGTGATGCCAACTCTCCTACCAGTACTAGTAGTTTCTTCTTCAGCAATGTCACTTGCTTCGGTGAGAAAGTCCATGAGTGGATCCAGGCCAGCAGTGACGACTACATCGGTTTTGTCGAGACCCACGCCAATGCAGCCAGTGTATCACAGTGGCAGGGGAGGCTCAGGTCCATCAATCGCAGGCTATTCGCCAACCTCGCTCGGCCCACATCACGTGCTGATTCTGAAGGGTGGACTGCTGATTCCCATCTAGAGGCTGAATCCATGTCCGCAGTTTCACACGCGAATGAGGGTGGAGAATGGTTTCTCCCCAGAGGGCATCTCCATGCCCACCCTCTCCTCGAGGCGGTCCAGTCCAAGGACCTACAGGTTTCCCCTCACCCCTCCCTCGACGGCTTTTTGCCCATTGTCCTCCATCTCCGTGGTTATTCTATTGTTGCAGTTCTTTTCTATGGATTCTGCAGTGTCGGCATGCGAGGACCCAATTTAACCCGTTTCAGGAAGCTCGGGAGCCTTCTCCGCTCCCTCCAGCTCCCTTGGTTCGTCATTGCCGATTGGAACCTTAGCCCTGCTGCACTCACTCAGTCAGGTTTCCTAGCACAGATCCAAGGAGAGATCATGTGCGCATCTGTCGAACACACATGTGACCCAGGTGGAGGACGTAAGCCATCGCATTTGGACTTTCTCGTTCACAGTGCTGCTGCCCGCCCATACCTGGTCAGCCTCTCGCCAGTGTTAGATGTCCCGTGGAAGCCCCACATTGGATTGCGTCTCCAGCTCATCCAGTCTGGCGAGCAATTGCTCACGCGAGTTCTTCAGCTCCCGAGGTGCTTGCCACGCGTCGCTCGCCCTCGCAAGGCTGCTACTACTGGGTCTAAGGCAAGCCTTGCCAGAGCCCAGCGAGCAGCCCGCATGGAGAAGGCAACCGAGAGAAAACAGTCTCTTCATGCCACTCTCTTTGCAGATTTACGGACCAGCGAAGGCCAAGATGCCGACGCCGAGTCCACCAGTGCTGGCGACAGCCCCACATCAGAGGGCGACGAGGTCGATTCAGCCCAGCTTTCCGAGGAGGAAGACCCGTGGGCACACGAGACGAGTTTCTGGCCAGCCGTGCCGCCTGTTGTCTCGAACCCCGCTCGCGAGGAGACAAAACAGTGCTCGCTCGGCTCGTTTGCTTCACCCACCTCCGATGCCTCATCCGTTCATCTTTGTGATTCGCGGATCTCGGCACACGGTGAATACACAGCCGATGCCTCTCTGCCTCAGACTTCTAGTGGTGTCGCCCCGAGAGACACGCCCGCCGCCCAGGACAGGCTGCCCGCTGCTCTCTCCGCCCGCGATTCTGTCCCCGTTGCCCCTTCTTTTCATCCTGCCCAACAGTCAGAGACTGTTTCACCGGCCCAGCGTGAGAACCCCCCTGACGTGCCTGTCGTACCCGAGGAGACCATGCCAGACAGTTTTTCCAAATCCACGAATTTTCCCCAACCTGGCCCCAATGAACCGTGCCCAGGATCTGGGGAGTTTAGTTCTACCGCTGTGGATTTCGAAATCCCTAGTTTGCTCTGGAGCGCCTCTCGGGAACAAATCAGTGCCCTGCCAGCCAGCTGCACGATGCCTGCCCCTGCAGCCACTGCTTCCGTAGCTTTTCGGCTCAAGCCTGATTTGACCCTTCAGCTTGGGCAGACCTACGGCTCTTGGGCCACGACTGTCGAGGCCACTTTCCACACACACCACCAGATACCTTTCACTGGCGCCAGCCGCGCCACAGGACTCAGCTACCAGATCACGGTTGTCCGCGAGCTACAGTGCAAGAGGAGAGCGCCTCTCGCCGATTTCTCCAGCAACTGGTGGACACGCGTTCACACTCTACTCCAGAACGCGCACAGACATCGAGCCCGCAGGAACGGACACCTGCAACTCCAGCAGCTGTATCGTGACCTACGGCGCCTCGCTGACTCACCACCCCCAGCTGCAGCCAGCATCGTCACACCCAAAGACGACCGCACTTGGGACCAGTGGATCCTTTTCCTGCAGCAGATCGAGCACGCCGACGACGGCCACATCGTGGCACACGCAACCAGAGCCAACCGACTTGCCAAGCGAGCCCAACAACGGGCAATACGCAAGTCCGTTCGTGCATTCAGCGAGTGGGCAACCACGCCCGAGGCCTTGGGAACACTCCATCGCTCCCTACGGCCCCAAACACAGCCAGCAGAGGTCACATTGTCCGACGGAGGCACTATCATGCACCCCAAGGAGCTCATAGACCAGAAGATACCGACCTGGACCGACCTGTGGGCCCCCCATGACGTCGACTACCACAGCCTGGAGGCCGCCTTCCAACGCATCGTCGACCGCATCCAGGAGTGCCCACTCCCCGCGCTCACCGCGGACGACCTCCGACGGGCCGCTTCCCGCCTCAAGGCCAACACCGCGCTTGGTGCCGACCGTCTACGACCTGGAGATTTCCAGCGGCTCCCTCAAGAGGCACTCCAGGAATTGGCCGACCTACTTACTACAGCGGAACGACTCCAAGCTTGGCCACACCAACTCCTACACACCATCGGTGTCATGCGGGCCAAGAAGGACAACGGTGACCGCATCCTCGGCCTCATGACGATGGTTGCACGACTGTGGTCCATGGCACGTGAAGAACATGTACAACAGTGGAATCGAGATTATTTCGCACACTGGGACGCCATAGCCAAAGGCAGCTCGGCCTTCCGTGAGGCGTACGAAAGGTGCCTGCACGAGGAACTTTCGACCTACCTCAGCATCCCGCAGGCGCACGGGCTACTGGACATCGCCCAGTTCTACGATTCCATCCACTGGGTCACCCTCATCAACGACGCGCTCGACCTCAATTTCCCACCTGAAGTTCTCGGACTGGAGATCTTGCAGTGCACCGCCCCCCGCTCGCTCATGCAGAGCGGTGCGTATGCGGAAGCACTCCACCCCACGCGCTCTGTCGTACAGGGACTACGCTCAGGTACACGTTTCGCCAAGATCATGACCTACAAGGCACTACAGCGCATCGCACATCATTACCCCGACCTCCAGCACCGCATTTGGGTCGACGACCTGTCGCAGCGCCTGCAAGCCAGCCGGCGAGCCTTACGCCGCCGCATGGTAGCTTGCCTCGCCGACACCTGCACGGCGCTCCAGGACCAGGGCCTAAACGTTGCTAAGAAGAGCGTCATCGTCTGCACACACCACGACGACGCCAGATACATTGCCAACGCCATGAGAAGGAAGGGTTTCCCCATCCGCGCCAACACCCAGGCCAGCTATCTCGGCATCGACCTCGGCTGCGGTATACGACATGCGCGACGCACCACCACCCAGCGACGTCGCAAGCACGACGCCATGCACCAGAAGATACTTCGCTTCACACGTGCCACACGTCGGTATCGTATTTCATCCAAGCTCGCAGTACAAGGAGGGATGCCAGCAGTCACCTACGGACACCAAGTCTACGGCGCATTCGGCACGACTATGACCACTTACCGCCGACGCGTCGGTGACGCAGTGGGACCTCGACTAAGAGGACGATGCCTCACTACCCTACTTGACCTACGCGCTCATGACCCAGCTCGCAAACTACCACACGACGCACTCAAGGCATGGCTCACTACCTGGATACAAGGAGGACCCCTCCAACGTGTTATTCAAGCCACCTGGAAGACCGTCGTCACCAATTTCAAGACCATGCCGCCACATGTACGGGTACGGCACATACGTGGGCCACAATCGACCATCATCCACTACCTTATGCAGCACGACTGGGAACCACTGGAGCCCAACAAATGGCGCCTCCCGCCAGCACTCTCCGACTGCGGAGACACATGGGAGTTCGACGCCAAGCGGCTCACAGGACACCCCGACGCCGACATCCCACATCAATTATTTCATGACCTCGACGCCAGCATCCAGCACCAACAATGGCAGCGGGCCAGTACCCACCACGGCGGAGAGGGCATGCAGCAAGGAATCGACAACTACTCCTACCGCAGGCTTCTTCGGCACCTCGAGAGTCTCGCAGACGGCGCACGCCTCGCGAGCCTCATGCTCACCATCGCAGTAGGTGCCATGTGGACACACTCCAGAGTCGCCGCCGAAACGTCCACCACCACTACCACTACATGCCCACGCTGTGGAACCAGTGACGAGGATGACTACCACCGATGCTGGGAGTGCGAGGGCAACAGCGCCAACAACATCATACTCGCCTCCAACACACTCTGTGCAGAGGCTGCCTCTCAACGAGCCATGTTCGAGTGTTTCTGGACACGAGGCCTACTACCTGCGCAGTGGACAGCTCTCCCGCCACCACCACAGCACGACCAATGAGAACACTTCAACTGCAACGAGCACAACGACGGATGCATGGACCACGTTGGAGGACGCCCGACATACGCCTTCGGCGACGCCAGTGGCGGCCCCGACACTGCTGCCACCCCCCTGAGGAGGATCGGTATAGGTGTCGCTTTTTTCGCCGACCTCAATAAGCACGACATGCCGCTACGGGGCGCAACTTGGGGGCCTCTCGCGGGCAGCCGACAGACCGTCATACGTGGTGAACTCATGGCCCTAGTAGTAGCAGCTGAGAGCATCACCAACGACCTCGTCTACTTCACCGACAGTGAGGGCTGCTACAACAACTGCCACAATGGACACACGGACAATCCAGTCGGACCAGACGCCGACCTATGGGCACGACTCGGACGTAACATCTCCTCTCGCCGCGGCTCCCTCACCATCCTGTGGATCCCCTCGCACATGAGTGCCCAGGATGTCTTCCAGGGCAAGATCCCCGCCACCCTCGCCTACGGCAACACAGTGGCGGACGAGATCGCAGGAGGCGCAGCACAGGCAGCCAGAATCCCTACCTCCGACAGACAGCAATACGCATTGATTGAGCAAAAGGCTTTTCTCGTACGCATGAGATTGCTCCGCGCATCTCTCGAAGCGCTTGAGCACGCCAGGAATATCGAGCAATCCTCTGGGGAATTCCGCCCAAAGAGGCAGAAAGGTGTGGCCCCACAGAGGCCCCCCGCCCCCCGCGTTTGTGCCCTGTTCCAGTCCCAGCACTCTGTAGCCCTCTGTGGATCCAAGTGCACCCGCTGTAGGACCACTACCACGCTGGCCTCAAGGGCCCAGTGGCTTGCTAGCGAATGCTTCGACCTATGTAATGTCGATGGCACCTATATGATGGCTCCTCTTGGGAAACAGGTACACGTCGCAGGGGGATATGTTGACCCGACACACACTTTAAGGTTCCACGCTGGGCTGAATCTTTGGTTCTGTTCCGTCTGCGGGTCCTACGCAAACCAGCTTCTCGGGAAACTCGGGGGTCGGTGCGAGACCCCAACTCCGACAGGCGTTGCTTGCCTGCGGAGAATCGCCAAGGGACTCTGGCCTAAGGCTCTCAGTCGAGCTGAGCGCGAAGCCAGAGACCAACGCACCCCACGGAGGGTAGCGGATCTTTAATTTCATCCAATCGCTACGCGATCAGGCAGAATCTCCAGAATCTCCTCCTCCTCCACCTCCTCCCTCCTCCTCCTCCCTCCTCCTCCTCCCTCCTCCCTCCGCCCTTGGTGGATGGTGGGAGTCGGACGTTGGAGGCTCGAAATCGGTCGGGTGAGACGGGACGTCGATGGGCGGAGGTCGAGCGCTGCAGACAGGTGGAGGTCGCAAGCTGGAGGCAGGAAGTTGGGCAGCGATAGCTGGTGGTGAATGCTGTGAGCCGGAAGCTGGAGCCAGAGGCCGGTCAGGTGAAGCTGGAGGTCAATAAGTAGAGGTCTTCAGCTGGTGGCGGTGGTGGGGATCCATCTAGTGTGCTGCTGGTGCGGCGCCAGAGCGCCAGAATGCTGCATTTTAAACGCGTTGCCCGCTTTTCGTCGCATGCCGCAAAAACTGGTGCCAGATTGCCCCACGTATCTGTCGACACAAGACAGCATGTGCTTGCAATGCTAATGTCAGCCCACCTCATCTTAACTCCAATGTAATGTCGGACGTCGTAGATCCATCTGAATTTGGGTCTCCCCCTGTGTTTCGCTGTGTAGACGGGGTCGCGTTGTGGAGTCTATTGGGCTACCTGTCGGGCCGAGCCTGTCGGGTCCGTTCGTGTTCGCCGGCGTTCGCCTATGTTTGTATCCAGTGCCATTTTCGCAAGTGTATTTTGGAAACCCAATCTGTGATTTGTAGCCTCTCCATCGCCGCCTCTGCCTTGCGAGTTGCTCGTTTTACCCAGTCAACCCATGTCGGCTCCAAATAATCTCCTGCTGTTCCAGCATCGTGCACGCATGGCGTAGTATCTGGCGTGCTGTCAACGTCACGTCCATCGTCGTCGTAGTCGTCGTCGAAGTGCTGGTGGGTGTTGTCTTGTCGATCGTCGGTGCCTCAGCTGCTTGAGGTGCCTGCTGGGTGCTAGTTTTGATCGTGCGTCTGGGCACCTTGACTATCATGCGGAGCATCTGCCGTTGTGTGTGCCGTAGTCGATCCTCCAATTTGGTTGTTAGAATCCAGGCTTCGCAACCGTAGAGGATTGTCGGTGTGATGGTCCCGTTGAAGAGGCGAAAATGGTTTGATTGTGAATATGTTGGTCCAGCCATCTCTTGCTTGAGTGCGTGGATGTTCCACAACGCTGTGGCGATGCGATGTTTTGTTTCAGTTGCGTGGGGCGTGCTGTACTGTAGCTGTCATCCCGCACTCAATCCGTAAATCTCTTGCACATGTTCAAAACGAAGGTGCGCGGCGCTAAGGCGAGAGCACCATTTTGACAACCACCTGCCCTCCATTTGCGAAGCTGTTGCCAGTTTCTAAGCCTCAGGCTCACAAATTTTGGGGAAGTCTCATGCGAAACGCCCGGCCCGCCCTTCAACTGCCCTCGGGAAGCGACAGGGAGGAGTTATTCATAAGGACACGGAATGGAAGAGGAGAAGGATGTGGAGGAGGAGGAGGACGACGACGCTACTAGTTTCGCTAAACGTTTACCCCAAACAAGCAGGAGGAGGAGACGGACGCCACGAGTTTCGCTCAACGTTTGCCCAGAGCAGGGATGAGCAGGAGGAAGAGGAAAAGAAGGAGGAAGAGGACGACGACGACAACGCTACGAGTTTCGCTCAGAGTTTGCCCAACGCAAAAAAAGAGATGATGAGGAGGAGGAGGACGAGGACGAGGAGGAGGAGGAGGAGGAGGAGAAAGAGGAGAAAGAGGAGGAGGACGACGAGGAGGACGACGACGAGGAGGAGGAGGAGGAGGACGAGGAGGAGGAGGAGGAGGAGGAGGAGGAGGAGGAGGAGGAGGAGGAGGAGGAGGAGGAGGAGCCACCGCATCGGTGGGAGCGGCGGGCGGACGCTGGAGGACGGCGGTGCCCCCCCCGCGCCGCCGCCGAATGGGCCGCGCGCGCGCGGCGGTGCCATGGAGGGCGCTGGGGCCGACGGCCGGGTGCCCCGTCCTCGATCTCCTCCTCCCTCCCTCCTTTATCTTCCTTCTCTTCGAACTCCTCCTCCTCCTTCTCCTCCTCCTCCTCCTCCTCCTGCTCCTCGACCTCCTCCTCATCCTCCTCATTCTCGTCCTCCTCCTCCTGCTCCTCCTGCTCCTCCTCTTCCTCGGCCTCCTCGACGGCCTCGAACGGGGGAGGAAGAGGAGGAGGAGGAGGAGGAGGAGGAGGAGGAGGAGGAGGAGGAGGAGGGGGAGGAGGAGGAGAAAGAGGAGGAGGAGGAAGGAGGAGGGGAGGAGGAGGAGGAGGAGGAGGAGGAGGAGGAGGAGTTGGAGGAGGAGGAGGAGAGGAGGAGGAGGGAGAGAGGAGAAAGAGGAGGGGGAGGAGGAGGAAGAGGAGGAGGAGGAGGAGGGATGAGGATGCAGAAGGAGTGGTGGTGGAGGAGGATGAGGAGGAGGAGGAGGAGGAGGAGGAGGAGGAGGAGGAAGAGAAGGAGGAGGAGTTCGAGGTTCGTTGAGTTTTTTTCGTCGCATTTGGCATCAGGAGGCTGTGTTCGACCCTCAGAACCGTCAAACACGGACCCCAGACGACAAACTGTGCTCATGGGTTGCCAGAATCGCTCCGAACGGCCGCTCGAGGCCCGATTTGAGGCCTGACAGCCGACCGCGGGGGAGGCGGAGGTTTCACCCTCTCTCCTTCGTCGCAGGTTCTCCCAGTCACAAGACGAGACGTGTTGGCAGAGCGGGCCTGGTTGTTCGCCTGAGATCGAAGAAGAAAAGCGGCACAAACTTACACTTTGGGCGCTCCTCGCGGATTTCTTGGATCCGCGCTGGGGCCCTCAGGCGCGCCTCCAGCGCCGCCGCTAGCGCGCCTCGCGCGCCAGGGAGGGGGGTCTGGCGCGGATCCAAGAAATCCGCGCGGAGCGCCAACAGTTTATGTGTATGCTGTGTTTTCTTCTTCTATGAGACTGCCTCACCGTTCACGACCACGAAGCTCGACAGTTCCAGCAACTGAGCGAACGTGGGGCGGCTGGCTTTCAAAACGTGGCTCTCGCCGTAGCGCCGCGCACGTTGGTCTCACACGTCTGCAGCACCTTTGCACGGCTGGAGGGCGGGTCGTCTGCAGCATCTCCGCGGTTGGACGGCGCAGGACCTCGCAAGTTCGCTGCAAACGCCTGCAGACGTTTCGCGGATGGAGGGCGATTTCTTTTCAAAACGGGGCTTTCGTTCGAGACCTCGCCGTAACGACGATCAGCTCAGACTTGTGCACCCGTTCACGGATCGAGAGTGGCTCTTTTTTTCTCCATTGGGGCTCTGACTTTTTTTTGACGGGAAGCTTCACCATGTCCAACATATAGACGGGTGGGCGGCTTCTCCTTTTCAAAACTAAGTTCTCGCCCGAGATCTCACCAGATTGCATCACAGGACGTTGGAATATGTGCGACAGTTGCACGGTTGAAGGGCGGGCTTTTGCCAAATTCTCGGTGGACGCCTCCTCGACCTACGGGCCCCATCCACGTGCATCTCTTCTAGCTGGAAGAATGGAGGGCAGGGCTGGACCTCAACGGTGTTTTGGGGTGACTTCGTGGGCCGTTCTCGTTTCGACTCCGTTTTGCGGGAAAGGCGGATTCGAGACAATCGCGAGGGACAACGAAAACAAAACGAAAACGAAAAACACCGTTTACAGTCGGGGCGCCGCAGAAGGAACCCGTTGCGTCGGGGGGGGGCTCGGTGTTCTCTGAATGCTTTCAAGTTTGCCTCGGGGCTTTCCTGAGGTTCTCCACGGGAAATCGAGGTTGAATTCATGGGAACAGGGATTGCAACAAAAAACGAAGGATTGCAAAAAACGAAGGATTGTTTTTTTTTGCAATCCTTCGTTTTTTTTGCAATCCTTTTTTGCAATCCTTCGTCCCTCATTTGGGGTTCCTTAGGTCAGCGCCCCGACTGCAGGTTCAGCCCCGACGGAGAGCGGTTCCTTTTGCGTGGACGGGGCCCTCGCCCGAGTGGCGGGCCCCCGAGGCGCAGGCGTTTCAGGGCAGGCGCCCTCCGTACGGCAGGCTCGCGTCGTGTCGACCGGCGGCGACCCGGAATCGGTTGAACGAAGGATTGCAAAAAAACCGAAGGATTGCAAAACAACCGAAGGATTTCAAAAAAAAACGAAGGATTGCAAAAAAACCCAAGGATTGCAACGAAGGATTGCACGAAGGATTGCAAAAAAAAAACGAAGGATTGCACGAAGGGTTTTTTTGCAATCCTTCGTTTGCGATCCGACTTTTCGGAAAGAGTGGATCGCCCAAGGTTGAACGATCCCCGCGGTGTCAGGAACCAACGCCGGGGTCGACACGGCACGGACCCGCAGTACGGCTGGACCGAGGGTATGCGGGCGAGGACGGTTCGGGGAGGGTGCCCTCAAGCTCCTCGTGTCTGTTGGGTGTTCTTGTGCACTCTGGGGGAGGGTACAGTCGAAGGTTCTTCGGTTTGGCAGGGCGGAGGGCCGCATGTTCTTGAAGGTTGTTCTTCTGTCCTGGGTCCCGCCGTGGTGATCACGAGCGGTTGCAGGAGGGGGCTTTGGACGGGAGCGGATGCAGCATCGCTCATACATGTTGGGCTCATTCTGGCCCGCCCTTATCCTCCTCCCCCTGCTTCCCTCCCCCTCACTCTGCGGAGGTCTCTCCAGAGGCCCCAGCGGGGCCAGAGCCTTCCAGAAGCCTCGACCGGCGAAGCTCGAGCGTGCGGCACGCCTGGACCCTCGCTCCCCGCTCCTCGAGCCGCCGTTGCGGGAGGCCGCCTCGATCCTGCCGCCGCCCCTCCCCCCGTCTGGCTCCCGTCCTGGCCCTCCTCCTCTGCCCCGTTCCCTCCTCCTTCTGGAGAGGAAAAAACACACAGACACAATGAATCCGCGATTCCTCAGGAAATATGGGAACATATGGGAAGTGGGGGGGAAGACAGAAACCCGGAAAACATGGGAAAGTGTGAGGATTTTTTTTCTTTGTGTGTATTTATTTGTGTGTCCTGGGGCCCCTTCACTCCTCCCGTCCTGCCCTTCGCCCCCGCTCGAGCTCTCCCGCGCCGCTCGCGGCGCCCGCGCGCGCCGGAGCGGGAGGAGGGGGCGGGGAGAGGGGGGGGGGGAAGAGGAGGAGGTTCTAGGGGAGGAGGAGGGGGTTCAGGAGGAGGAGGAGGAGGAGGAGGAGGAGAAGGAGACGAAAGGCGACGACGAGAAGAGGACCTCATAGCACAAGCGCGAGATAGGATGATGATGATGATGAGGAGGAGGAGGATTTTTTTTTTTTCCCCTGAGGCTTCACCCACCTTATCTGTCCCGCATTGGGGCTTGCACCCAGGCTGCACATGGCGCTTGCAGCCTGCAACAAGAAAAGGCGCCTTGCAATCACCCTCAAACAGACGGGCGAAGGGAGGCGACGAGGCAAAAGCAGGCTCCGAATCCCTGAAGGATTGGGAACCCGAGGCCAAACGCCTGTCTGGACAAACGTGAGACAAGTGCAGCACCTACGACCAGAGCAATACAAAAATAGAGCGGCTATTAATCTGAGTCGTCCTGATCAGCGTCGGGATTTGAGCTGGGGACAGACGGAGCGGCGCCAGCCGCGATACAGAGACGACGAACCCTGGCCTGGAACTCGCTTGCCTTCTCTTCCTTCCTCAAACGATCTGCCAACTCACGCAGCGGGTGCATGGGTCTAGGGGCAGCAGGCGGATGAGGAGGAGGGGGCACGGGTTCACTCACAGCCGTGGGCAACTCGTCCTGAAACAGATTAGAGCCGTCACGAAGATTAACTCCCAACTGCACCAGACCAGGGAGAGAAAGCTTACCTCCAATCATCCACTCCAGCTGTCTGAAAACCGCCTCCATGGCGAGACGGCGCACGAGAGCAGGCGACAGGCACAGCAACGGCAGCTCCACGCCGCGATCGTCGATCAGCGTGGCGAAGTTGGGCATCTGCCAACTGATCCTCTCGAGACTTTTCCTCATGGCTGATGCAGAAGAATCGAAAGCGAGCGGTCACCCGCACTCGGCTTGATAGTACTGGCAAAGGATTACGACCTTGCTGACGAAATGGAGGACGAGGGCGAGGAAAACGAAGAGGAGCGGAGGAGGTTTGGCATGATCCCAGGCTTTACCTCATGATCTGGGCATTCACCGGAGGACTCAATATGTGTGATCACTGTGTGGGAGGGCTGTTTGATCTCGGTTGATGGGGGGTTGACGTGATGGTAGAAAGGGGTTCGCTTAAGGAAAATGTTAGTTGCCAGTGAACCACTGTGTTTGTTCTTAACTGCTCGTGCAGCTCGGGGTGTCATAGACCAACACTTTCTCTGTGTGAACTTGCATGTGTTGCATTCGATGAGGCACGGGCGTTGTAATTGCATCGCAGTCGTTTTGGCTTAAGTTGCTCTTAACACAAACGAAGTTCAACTTGCTCGAACAACCTCACACCCTTCTGCTGCTGCCAGCGCCCAATTTACGATGGCAAAATACTGCATTCGCACTTCTCACGGCGATGTCGTCACCGAGATTACTTTTGATAGCCAGCCACTGTCGCTGCCCTCATCAAGATCACTGGGGCGCGATGCAATGGGGGCATGCTACCCGCGCATTTTTTCCAGGGGTGAGAGGATTTGGTACCCAACGCCACGGTTGAGGAGAATGATGAGGCGGTTGTGTGAGTTCACGATGAGTATAGAAGAAGACGCAGCCCTTCCAGGCATCTACGCAGGAGCATTCACTTGTCGCTTCTCGGTTGATTGTTGGTTAACGGTAGACCCATCTGGTCTCGCAACATACGAGATGAGCTTGGAAAAAAGGAAGGTTCAGGGGCGGTGTTCTTGGAGCGCCGTCTAATAACCTGCTTTTGTCGGGTACGCGGAAGCGGGATTCGGAGCGGGTGGCCGATGATGTGGTCACCACCTCGTTCGACCAGGGTTGGGGCGAGATTGCAGAGGTCCATGATATAGAGTGTCTTGATAATTATATGAATTCAACGGCTAGGGCTTCAAGTTTGGTGGATCGAGTACGGCCACCGTCACTGTGAAGGGCTGCACTAAGAACGGCGAATCATGTCATAATGACATCTTTCGCGGTGGCAAGAACAAGGGTGGTGCGACGGGTCAGGGCAAGGTTTGTGCCAAGGGCTACACGATAGACGATGGAGATCAATTGTGAGGGAATCTCTCGCGGTGGCGAGCATGCTGGGATGGTTAAGGACCGTTTTTTTTGGGAAGGGCAACGCGATCGACGCGAACGACGGTTATGATGGAACCTTTCGTGATGTCAAGGGTAATGGTCTCGCAACGGTTGGTGTTCATGGCTTCACGGTCGAAACCATTGGAATCGAGACGGGCTTGGTTCACATCCAAAGCGAGAGTGACGAGGCACGCACGATCCCCGTCCCACGTGGTGTTATTGTTGAGGGGTTCCGCATACGTGATCATAGTGGTACATGCATGCATTTCGATGTGCAGCACTCCAGTCATGAGAACGGACTGTGAAACACCACCAGCAGTGCGTTGTGTATTGGTGACGCTGGCACTTCAGATCGCCTTAGCTTCCAGCGGACAACAATGAAAGGCATGCGCGTGATGATCAAAGGGAAGCACACTTGGAAGACTTGTGCACTTTGGCCAGCTCCTCTCTTACTGATCGCGCAAGGCAGTGTGCGCATCGCCCACATTGCACATGATCTCTTCAATCTGTTAATATGTATTCAATTGCTTGCAACTGCCATTAACAATGCCGTGCAGAATGCAACAGCAAGTGAATCCCTTGCCAGAGATCAAGCCGTTCATAGGTGTTCAACTCAATCTGGGGAGCCAACACTCTGGAGGGGAAGCGGCGCTTCCACCGGGGAGCCAACCTCTTGCCTCCTCCTCCCTGCTCCCTCCTCCTTCCTCGCCCTCCTCACGCTGTGTGGCTGATGGTCTGGGGGTGGCCTGTGCTCATGGGAGGCTGCGGCACCGCTCAACGATGTGCTGTTGAACCGAACGTGCAGGGCGGGCCCTTTCCCCTGACTCCGTGCTTCGGCGCGGATCCGCCTCGACCAGCGCCTGTCCCGGCTGGTCGCCGTGCGGCCTCCCTTCCCCTTCCGCACGACAGGGCCGAATCCCACCATCGCCCCGCGGCTTCTGCCGCCCCCCTCCCCCCCCCGAGGTGCGCGTCTTCGCGCGCGTGCGGCCCCGTGGCGCCGGCGAGGACCCCATACCCGCCCGCCTCCGCTCTCGCCGCCGCCGTGGTGGTCGTCGTCGTCGTGTCGGCGTCGGCTTCGGTGCCGTCAGCCTCGTCGTCCGCGGCGGCGGCGGCGGAGTCGAGGAGGAGGAGGAGGAGGAGGAGGAGAGAGTGATATTGTGATAATGATTGGTGATTGTGATGGTGATGAGGTCGGCGATGAAGAAGTCGGTGATGACGGCGACGATGCTCATGATGACGATGACGATGACGGTGGTGATTATGCTGCTGATGCTGATGCTAATGCTCGTGATGATGTTGATGATGCTGATGATGTGATGGTGTGATGATGATGATGATGTGATGCTGATGTGATGATGTTGATGTGATGATGTGTGTGATGATGATGTGATGATGATGATGATGATGATGATGATGATGATGATGATGATGATGATGATGATGATGATGATGATGATGATGATGATGATGATGATGATGATGATGATGTATGATGATGATTGATGGATGATGTGATGATGATGATGTGATGATGATGATGTGATGTGAATGGGATGGTGATGGTGATGGTGATGGTGGTGGTGGTGGTGGTGGTGGTGGTGGTGGTGGTGATGGTGGTGGTGGTGGTGATGATGAGGATGAGGAGGAGGAGGAGGAGAAGGAGGAGCAGGAGCAGGAGGAGGAGGATCTGGAGATGGAGATGGAGATGGAGATGGAGGAGGAGGAGGAGGAGGAGAGGAGGAGGAGGAGGAGGAGGAGGAGGGGAGGGAGAGGAGGAGGAGGGGAGGGACGAGGAGAGGGAGGGGAATGGAGGAAGAGGCGGCAGAAGGGGAGCCGGGGAACGAGGTGGAGGAGGAGGAGGAGGAGGAGGAGGAGGAGGAGGAGGGAACAGGATAGCGAGGAGGAGGAGGAGGAGGAGGAGGGGGAGGAGGAGGAGGAGGAGGAGGAGGAGGGGCAGGAGGAGGAGGAGGAGGAGGAGGAGAACGACGCGGAAGCACCGAGGGGCACGGTAACGCCACAAGACCCGACGGAGTTCAACCTTGAACGATCGGGGCCGCGATCGGCTCAAGGTTGAACGATCGAGGATGTGTCAAAACCCATTGCGCGCGCCGACGCCGCACGAACCTACCGTATCTGCCCCGAGGACGCCGCAGACCGTCTCGAGGGCAAGGGCGACCATCGACGAAGGGAAAACGGCATTTCCTTGGCATCGCTCGGACGTGAGCATGGTTTCTCAGCGAGGATGATCGAGGAGCATCCTCGATCATCTTGCGAGGATAAGACGCACGAAACCGAAACGTGCACAGGGAATGGACGTCTGAGCGATGGCAAGTTTCAAAATTCTGCGCGGATCTTTTGGATCTGCGCTGGAGCCCCCTGGCGGCGCCTCCAGCACCGCCCATGGCGCGCTCCGCGCGCCAGGGAGGGGGGTCAGCGCACATTCAAGAAATCCGCGCCGACCTCCGCAAAGATCATGCTGATGTATTTCTTTCCACGAAAACAAACTCTATACACCGACGCTCGTTCCGGCCCTAGCGCTGAAGCTTGCACAGGAGCGCGCATCCCCGTGCATGCGGGATTTGGTGTACGCACGTTGTTATTACCCCAGGAAGCGGGAAACAGTATACACCACACCACCCCGACGTCGTCCCCGACCCTCAAGAAGTCCCGGGACTGAAAAAACAGCCCGTCCCAGTTTTCGATATTTTTCTTGACAAGCAGAAGTGGATGCGGCCGACATCACGACGGGGGGGGGCGCCGGCGGCGACTTTCGGCGCTTGCCACCTCGACGGCGGCAGGTCCACACCTGGGCCTCCCTCGCAGAGGTTGGCTTGAGCGCATGCGCGCGGAAAGCGGACCTTGGGCACACAATTCTTTCAATTGGGTTCCTCAGCACCTTGGGGTCGGAGTACATGGTCGGAGGACCGCAGTACCGACCAGTTTCTGTTACCTCTCTCTTTGACTGCTCTAGCACAACAGCATGTTTTTAGACCTTTAAGGTAGCAGCCCAAGAGTTGCTTACCAGGCAGGCGCCGTTCACTTGCTTTTTTGGACGCTTGACTCTAACGTGGTGGAGGTTGGGGTTGGGACTATGTCAGAGGACGGGGGCTGTGGTGAAGAACGGCAGCGCCGACCAGCTTCGGCCACCTCTCTCCCTAACTTCCAGCACAGCAGCAACATGTTTTGTTTGTTTCTGCTTTGAAGGGTAGCAGCCCAAGAGTTGCGTACTAGGCAGACACCTGTTCACTTGCCACTTTCTGGACCCCTGCCTGACTTTAACGTGGTGGTGGGATAAGGGTTGGGTCTGTATATAGATTGGGGGGAGCAGCGCGTACAGCGTCACAACATCATGTTTACTGCCCCAAGGCAAGCGGCACAGTTGTTTTAGGTGCTAAGGCCAGATAGCATCCATGGCCAGGTTACATTTGCTCCAGCCCAGTCACCGTGTTTCTGACCCACAGGAAAATAAGCGGCATGAGTAGACACAGTATGCTTTCATGCCTTTTAGCAGGCCGGCCAACGTCTCTGGCCAGCCTACAGTATGGTCATAGCGCCCGCAGTTCCCAATTACCTGAACTGTTTGGACCGAACAGGTTGTACCTATTCCTATGGCTGGTTCGTTTTTTCATGTTTTGATTTATCTGTGCCTTACTAATGTGCATTATGTTTCCTGTACCTGGCGGGTGCCTACTTAATGTTCTACACTGTGCCGCCTTCTCCCTAGGCTAGATCCTTAAGCCGGGCTCACGCAAAAGGAGGAGTAGGAGAAGGAGGACGAGGAGGAGGAGGAGACGGAGGCGAATGATGAGGGCGAGGAAGAAGGGGGGGAGACGGAACAGGAGGAGGGAGAGGATGGGGAGGAGGAAGAGGAAGAGGAGGGCGAAGAGGACAAGGTAGAGGAAGAGCAGGAGGAGGAAGAGCAGGAGAAGGGAGGAGGACGAGCATGAGGAGCGCAAGGAAAGAGGCGAATGAGGACAGGAGGAGGACGAGGAGGAGGAATATGAGGAGGACTAGGAGGAGGAAGACGAGGAGGAAAGCGAGGAGGAAGAGGAGGAACAGGAGGAGGAACAGCAACAGCAGCAGGAGGAGCAGGAGGAGCAGCTGGAGGGCGACGGGGAGCTGCCCGCGGCGCGCCTGCGAGGACCCGTGCCTGCCTCCCGCTGCCGAGGCCGTGGAGGCCGCCCGCGCAATACGCGTGAGCGGCGACGGGGACGCGCTGGAGCGGGTGCTCGCGGGCAGCTCCTCCTCCTCCTCCTCCTCCTCGCCCTCCTCCTCCTCCTGTTCCCTCCTCGGCCTCCTCGGCCTCCTCCTCTGCCTCCTCATCCTCATCCTCTGCCTCTTCCTCCTCCTCCTCTCCTCCTCCTCCTCTTCCTTTCTCCTCCTCCTCCTCTCTCTGCCTCCTCCTCCTCTGCCTTCCTCCTCCTCCTCCTCTCCTCTTCTCCTTCTCCTCCTCCTCCTCCTCCCCTCCTCCTCCTCCTCCTCCTCCTCCCCCTCCTCCTCCTCTACCTTTCTCCTGCTGCTCCTCCTCCTCGTCCCCCCTCCCTCTCTCTCTCTCTCGTTATTATGTCTCCTCCTCCTCCTCATCCTCCTCATCTGCTTCTCCTTCTGCTGCTTCTCCTGTTTTGTCTCCTCCTTCTCCTCGTCCTCCTCCTGCTGCTCATCTTCTCGCCTCATGTTCCTTATGCTCTTTGCCCCCGACCCGTCCTCTTCCCTCCCCCATCTCCTCCTCCTCCTCGTCCTCCTCCTCTTCCTCCTCCTCACCAGCGACCACCGACGACCGCCGACCAGTACCACAAGCAGCGCCGACCCAGACCGACCAGCAACACCCAGCACCAAATACAGACCACCAACGACAAGCAGCACCACAAGCAACGCCGACCCCACCCGACCAGCAGCACTCACCAACGACCACCGACGACCGACGACCAACACAAGCAACACCGACCCAGACCGACCAGCAGCACCAACCAGCACCTACCGCCGACTTCCACCACAGACGAGCAGCACCACAAACAGCGCCGACACCACCCGACCAGCAGCACCCACCAGCGACCGCCGACGACCGCCGACCAACACCACAAGCAGCACCGACCCAGACCGACCAGCAGCACCCACCAGCACCCACCACCGGCAGCCACCGACAGCCACCGACCAGCAGCACAAGCAACGCCGACCCCACCCGACCAGCAGCACCCACCAGCTACCACCGCCGACCGACAACCAACACAACGAGCAACACCGACCCAGACCGACCAGCAACACCCACCAGCATCTACCACCGACCTCAAGACCCACCAGCGCCGACCAACCTTCTCCTTCCCCTCCCCGCCTCCTCCCCACCCCTCCTTCCTTCTCCTCTTCCTCCTCCTCCTCCTTCTCCTGCCGACGGCGACGTGCCACCCAGCATCTTGACAACAATGCGACCTCCAGCACCAAACACCACCAGCAACCACCGACCGACAGCACCACCACAAGCGATGCCGACCCCAACCGACCCACAGCGCAAGCGGGCGACCACCGCCGACCGCAACCGAGCAACAGTTCCATCGCAAGCAGCACGGACTTCAACCGACCAGCGGCGACCAACGGCATCCACCGGAAACCACCGACCAGCATCACAACGAGCAACGCCGACCCCAACCGACAAGCAGCGCTCACCGCCACCAGTCAACGACCAGCGACGACCAACAACACCACCACAAAAGACACAGCACCCGACCGACGAACAGCACGCACCAACACCCGCCGACAACCACGACCAGCCAACAACGACGCAAGCAGCACCGATCCCAACCGACCAACGGCACCACAACCACCAACCACAGCGACCGACCAACCACGACCACCGACAACCGGGACCGACAACAACCGCGACCGACCGCCCAACCACGACCCACCGACAACCGCGACCAACGGTGCCACGACCACCAACGCCCACCGGCAACCACGACCCAACGACAACCGCGACCGACCAACGGAACCACAAGCAGCACCGCAACCGACCGACCAGCAACGCACGCAAGCGCCCGCCGCCGACCACAACCGACCAGCACTGCAACCGCAAGCAGCACAGAGCCAAATCGACCAGCGGAGCCCGGCAGCGCCCACCGACACCCGTCGACCAGCAACAGAGCAAGCAACACCGACCCCAACCGACGAGCAGCGCCCATTGCGACCCACTCACGACCAGCAGCAACCGGCAACGCCACCGCAAGAAGCACGACCTCCAACTGACCAGCAACTCCCACCAGCGCCCACCGACAACCGCGACCGACAGACAATGCCACAAGCACCACCGACCCCAACCGACCAACAGCGCACACAAGCGCACTCCACCGAGCACGACCTACCAGCGACGCCACCACAAGCAGCACAGACGCAAGCAAACCAGCGACGCCCACCAGCGCCCACCGACAACCACACAGCCACATCACAGCAAACAACACCGACCCCAACCGACCAGCAGTGCCCACCGCCACCTGCCACCGACCGGCGACGACCAGCAACTCCATCACCAATCGTCGTCGACCACAGACAAGCAGCAACGTCGACCAGCCCTCTCCCTCCCATCCGTCCCCCCTCTCCTCCTCCTCTTCCTCCTCCCCCTCCTCCACCACAGAACCAACAACAACCAGGGCAGACCGACCACATACAGATGACAATCATTCACAAAAACGCCTGGTCTCTTTCAACAGACGACCGAGTCAGCGAGATAATCAGTGAGCTCGAGTCCGATCACTGGGATTTCGCCCTCATCAACGAAACGTGGAGAACAACGGCCGAAAAGTTCTGGACAACCTCGGAAGGGCACACCTTCGCCGGATCCGGCAATGACCAAGCATGCCATGGAGTTGCCTTAATCATACATCGACGTTGGGTTCAAAACATCCAGAGGTTCCAAGCGAATTCGCCCAGACTCGCCTCGGTATCGCTGAAGAAAGGAAGACTGAAACTACAACTCGTGGCTGCATATTTTCCTCATTCGGGATACAGTGATCCACACGTGCAGCGCATGTACGACATGATCCACGAGCTTCAGAGAGAGAGAGAGAGAGAGAGAGAGCACCAAGGCACGACATCATTTGATACTCGCAGGGGATTTTAACGCACAGGGGGGGGGCTTCCATGACTTCCGAGGACGCAGACGACGACGCCGACATTTTCGACAGCACCACTTCCAAACATGTTGGCCGCCATGGGCTCGGGGATCAAAGCTCGAGGGGTATTTGGCTACGTCATTGGGCCGTCCAGGAGGGACTTGTTATTGCAAATACCTTTTTTTCGCAAGCCAGTGCAACAGCAAATCACTTATAGCAGTGGCGACAATCACAAGCAACTCGACCACGTGCTACTGGACCGCCCGATGTTCCAGCACTGCGCCAACGCAGAGGCTCACAACAGGACCGACCTCGGCTCCGACCACAAGGCTGTTACCGTCGAATTGCGGATGCCGACCGCAATGATAAGCGGACGACCGCGATGTGACGACGAACGACGACAGCAACGGCGACAGCAACGACGACGAACACAGGCACGATCACCAACACGCTAGTTCACCATGACCACCAAAGGCCCCATTTACGCCCGCACAGTTTGCCTTTCGACCCGAGTGAACTGTGCGAATACATCCAGCGAGTATCGTCAACGCCGCTGCCGCCAGCAGTGCCGCAGGAAACTCATCTTGATGCGACAGAGATGGTGCAACCCCGGCCAGTGCGCAAGCAAACCAACAACCCGACAGAGGACCAGCACGACGACGCAACCTACTCACTGAGCGGCAGCAGACGCCAAACAACGACCACCACGCCCGCAAGCAGCTGAGTAAACGTATGCAGCAATATATCCGTGCACAGAAAAGGACGAGACGACGGGCCCATATAGCAAACGTACTTGAGCAGTTCAGAGATTTAAAGAGCATCCCGCGTATCAAAACACGAAGAAATCGAACTCTCATTTCCCACATGACAGACGAAGAGGGCAACACATGCACGACGCGACAAGAAATCGCGAACGTTTTCGCGGAGTTCTACCAGCAATAGTACAGTTCGACAGCAACGGCGACGCAGCTGGAACGACCAAACGACGACCGCACCGACCGTCGACCAGCAGACCAAACAGCAGACCGACCAGCAGACCCACAACCTAACAGGCCGAATGCCGCACCAGCCGACCAACCAGTAGCCCAGCAGACCGACCACCGACCGCCGACTAACAGACCAGCAGACCACTTACCACCGATCATCAAGCAGACCCACCGACTCCCACAACGACCAAACGACGACCCCACCGACCACTGGCCAGCACACCGGCCAGCAGACCGGCAAACCAACAGGCCGAACGCCGCACCGGCCGACCAACCAGCAGACCAGCAGACCGACCACCGACCGCCGACTAGCAGAACAGCAGACCGACTACCACCGACCGACCCGCAGACCCGCCGACTCCCACAACGACCAAACGACGACCCCACCGGACCAGTAGACCGGCAAACCAACAGGCCGCACCAGCCGACCAACCAGAAGACCAGCACACCGGCCAGCAGACCGACCGGCAGACCGGCAGACCAACAGGCCGAACGCCGCGCCGGCCGACCAACCAGTAGATCAGGAGACCGACCACCGACCGCCGACTAACAGACTAGCAGACCGACTACCACCGACCGACCAGCAGACCCACCGACTCCCACAACGACCAAACGACGACCCCACCGACCACTGGCCAGCACACCGGCCAGCAGACCGTCCAACCAACAGGCCGAACGCCGCACCGGCCGACCAACCAGCAGACCAGCAGACCGACCACCGACCGCCGACTAGCAGACCAGCAGACCGACTACCACCGACCGACCAGCAGACCCACCGACTCCCACAACGACCAAACGACGACCCCACTGACCACCGACCAGCAGACCGACCAGCAGACCGACCAGTAGACCGGCAAACCAACAGGCCGCACCAGCCGACCAACCAGCTGACCAGCACACCGACCACCGACCGCCGACTAGCAGACCAGCAGACCGACTACCACCGACCGACCAACAGGCCCACCGACTCCCACAACGACCAAACGACGACCCCACCGACCACTGGCCAGCACACCGGCCAGCAGACCGACCGGCAGACCGGCAGACCGACAGGCCGAACGCATCGCCGGCCGACCAACCAGTAGATCAGGAGACCGACCACCGACCGCCGACTAGCAGACTAGCAGACCGACTACCACCGACCGACCAGCA